GTTATGCAGAAAATAAACCAAACAACTTTTTTCTTTTTTCTTTTTCCGGAACAATGTCTTTACCGGGCCACGCGTCCCTCACGAAATTAGGTGGGGCCCTCAGCGGACAACGCATCATCGGCCAAGCACATAGAGGGCACCACTAGATTTAACCCCACAGCCAACTCCACAACCCCAACAACTCAAAAAGTCAACAAAAATTATCATCAAAATCTAAGTTATCCCTAAGAAGTGAAAATAATAAGGAATTCACACTGATCATAACAATTCCTACCTATATCTTCTCTGAATGCCTAATTAACAAAAACTATCTCAAAAATTTCAACTCTACAACTTCGTATAAAAGCGAAGACCGTCCAGGATGGTAGGCTCGGTGGGGGAGGAAGCATCAAGCCCAACATCTCGGATGATACCCACTGAAAAACAGTCACAACAATTCCTACCTATACCTTCCCTGAATACCTAATTAACAAAAACTATCACAAAAATTCAACTCTACATAGATTACAAAATTCCTTCTATGCAGAGACTTTTCAGTTCCTAATCTAAATTAGAAATTCAACGTGGTCAAACTTAAATGTCATTGAGCAAAAGCGAAGATCGTCCAGGATGGTAGGCTCGATGGGGGAGGAAGCATCAAGCCCAACATCTCGGATGATACCCACCGACCACTCAATGAGAAACAAGCCATCAAACCGAGGGAAAGCAGCTACCGTGTGCCGACGACAGAAATTCTAATCACAACAGTCGTGACAACCCTAATTAGGTGACCCAATTGTCACCGACCATGAAGAAAGTTTCAACCAACCCTAATTCTGCAAACCGCCAAAAATTATCAGCATCCACCAACCAAAGGATGAAGTACGATGGACTAAACGACTGCGTCGACTGGAACTAATAAGAAATTTGCACACGAAAATTTCAACTGTATACATTAGTATAGGGCCTGTAGGGTTTTAAATTGCAGAATTCCTTCTAATTTAGGAAAATTCAACGTGGTCAATACTTCAGATGAACGAAGACCATCCAGGATGGCAGACTCGATGGGGGGACAGCATCAAGCCCAACATCTGAGATGATCCCCGCCGGCCACACTATAAGAAACCAGCCATCAAACCGAAGAAAAGCAGCCGCAAACCCGCTACACGAACTTGAGTCTTCAAAACCAAACAAAACCGGCATCATTGAAGCACAAGCAGCCGACACAGAAGAGTCAACGTGATCAATACTTCAGATGAACGAAGACTGTCCAGGATGGCAGGCCCAACATCTCGGATGATCCCCACCAGCCACACTATAAAAAACCAGCCATCAAACCGAAGAAAAGCAGCCGCAAAGCCGCTACACCAAAACGGGCATCATTGAAGCACAAGCAGCCGACACAGAAGAGTAACCGCAAAGCTGCTTCAGCAGATTCAATCTTCAGAGCCGAACAATACGACAGGCTGCTCCAGTGCTGCTCCAGGCAACGCGGAAGCAGGATTACCCTGCGCTCACTCCGTATCAACGACCGGAGGGCAAAACTCCCGATCAGCTCCATCAGGTATAGTGGCGACGCACCAGCACAGCGAAAACCGCAGTGCTATTGTGTCAGCGATGTGACACGTTAACGCTGCACTCATGCAGTGCTAACGCGCCGGTGTGACGCATTAACGCTGCGCTAACGCAGCGCTAAACTGAACAACTTTTGCATCAGAGTCATATCAAAATTCTTTACCAAATTTAAAATAAAAATAAAAATTCAAAACTTTTTATTTTTATTTTTATTTTTCTATTTTTTTGTGGCCCGGAACACGATTGACACGAAAACAGACGCATCTGCAAAAAATGACCTGCAGAGTCTGTGCAGACTGATATGAGGACTACTGGTCTGCTGTGGCAAGTTCATTGAACATGATCATTTAGAGGACGGAGAAGCCGTAACCCCACAAGGGTGTCCTCCGGGACATCCATTAAAATTGGAACGATACAGAGAAGATTAATTAGCATGGCCCCTGTGCAAGGATGACACACATAAATTGAGAAATGGTCCAAATATAAAAAAGAAGAAGAAAAAGAAGAAAAAGTTGCAATAAAGGTTTTTTTTTTTTCAGTAGGTGAACCTGCAGAACGATCATTGACAAAAAAAAAAAAAAAAGCGACTGCAGTCACTGCACACTTCACAATTCATACAGAAAAGTTGCACAGTGTGCGGCTTTACTCTCGTGGAGGACATAGTAGTATGTATTGTAAACTGACATTCGAATCATCACAGTCTCACACAAAAACTCATGGAAAGTTCACAAGGAAAATTCATACGAAGTCATGGAAATTGTAACCCAAGTCCGTCATATAGACATAACTCTCGCAGAGGACATAATGTGCAAGAAAAACTGCAGAACCCCGAAGGACCATAGGATGTTACGGCATCGCCCTTCTGCAGACATATGCAGACCGACCTGCTAACTGATCTGTGTGCAACCTGGAAGGAGGCGAATAGGCTTTGCTATACATCCATATGGAGCAGCTTGCACATTTGTCAATAGCAAGTCAACGACAATCGTTTCACACCATCCCATGAGCTACTTGTTGTATTCCTTTGTCGTTGTTTTGTAATAGCGAAGCGGATGTAATGGAGCATCCTTCGGCGGCGGTTCCAATGCGCGGGATTCAGACACGGAGCATCCGCTCTCGGAGAAGCTTAAACCACCAGTACATGGGCACCTGGGCCGCGGGTCTGACACCTCAAATTCTGGAGGCGCGAAACGAAAACGGGGCCACCGATCAAATTCATCAACGGCGGGCCCAGCCTTTGACGTTTCGGCCTCGTTTTCTTGTGGCGACAAGTTTCGGACTGCAAGGCTGGGGCCGTGTACTTGTGGTTTAAAAATACCAGTACTTCCGAGACACTTTTCTCCGGGGCTGGAAATGTGCTGTGCACGAAAAAAAGGAATAGGCGCTGGCCTCCTTTTGCCTGGTGCCGCCAGCCATTTTGCTGCGCCGGTCGAGCCCCGAACGAAAGTTGCGGCAGGCTGGCAGCATGCAAGCTGCAACCTTGAGAACATAGCTGGGAAACGTGCTGGTGGTTTAAGGCCCTAAGGGACCGGCAAATCGAAAGACAACAGAAACCAGAGCCATTCGGCGAAAAATATGTTCGAGAGAGGAGAGATGTAAAAACATTAAGAGTTTGCAACTGGGATAAGAGGAGGTGTGCCACCGAGGAATGGAAAGACGAAAACAATCGACCAGTTGATTGCTACCACCCCACCCTTGTGGGCTGAATTGGAAATCCACACGTGGTGCTGTTGATAAACAGGTCTTCAGGGATACAATAACACTAGGGGCAAACTCCTTGAAAACAATAACAATAACTTAATAATAAAATAATAACAAATAATGCGAAAATTTGTGAAAGAACACTGAAAAATTCACGTATATGCTAAAATACCCCTAGAAGATGTGGGTAGAGAGACAGACCCCTCTGAAATTTCAAGAGTTTGTGAAATGCCCTCTTGGATCTAAATCTTTGCAAGGGTGTTGCGCAAGTTTGCGTTCTGCCCCTGACAGGGGTATAGCACAATCTTGGGAACCCCCTGACAGGGGTATAACAAAAAGATTTAAATCCAAAAGGGCAGTTCACAAAATTTTTGAAATTTCTCAGGGGTATCCCACTCTACCCACATCTTTTAGGGCCATTTTAGCATACCCGTGAACTTTCAGGGGTGTTTCACAAATTTTGCCTAAAATAATATATAATGATAATAATAATTAATAATTATTATAAGTCCATAGATTAATAAATAAATACATAGCAGTGCTGTAAGCCCGGTAGGACCAGGGGCCCCTCCCACAATTGGAACCGGACTGGTCCCTACCGGCCGGCTCCCCCCCGGTTGGCCATAGCGCATTACTTTAAGCCCAGGGTGTTGTAGAGGCCAAGGACTAGACCCACGGTGATCGCTGGCAGTCACAGCCGGTGGTTGTCCTGACAGGATAGGCCACCTTCCCTACCCTTCTCCACGTTAATACTTCCAGCGCACCCCCTACCCCTACTATCCTACCTCAGTGTGACCAGCACTCAGGACCATAACCCTACCAGTATCGAGGGCAACTTGGACAAGACGGCAGTGACAAGCACCAAGGGGCCGTAGTGCATCCAATCTGGGGGGTCTTACTGGTTTTTGTTTGGGTCAGGAGGCCTCCACGCAGGCTGTGGAGGTCTGCTGGCCCAAAAGAAAATCAGACCGGGTCCGGTAGGCCCGCCAAAAAGGCTTGAAAAGGGCGGCCGATCTGGACCTGCGATCTAGAGAGATCGGCAGCCCAGATAGGCCACCCTTTTCAAAGTTTTTGGGTGGGAAGTACCGTCCCTACCCTCCCACTAACACCCCCACCCCACTTTTCAAAGTTTTTGGGCGGAAGGTCAACGTTTGCAGAAAGCCAGGTACGTTGTTGTCAATGTCTGCTGAAGCCCGTGCTTGCTGAAACCCCACCACTAATACCCCCGCCATAACCCCCCCCAACCCCCGACCCCCAGCCCCTGAAATACCCGCCCCCCCTCCCACCCCCCAAACGAAACTCCTCTGCTCAAAGTTTTCTTTGCGGATTCGGGGAGATCTCGGCGAGCGAATTCGAACCATGCTTTCCAAAAAAAAAAAAAAGACCCATTTTTGGCCCAACCGGAACTCCGGTTGGACCACCGGGGTTCCAACTGGCCAGTTGCCGCCACAGCCCTGATACATACTACATACTTTAAGAATGCCATTTATGTTTGCTGAAATATGTGTGCGGTGTTGACGAGAGGGAATGAAAGAGGAACATGATGGTGACTTACCGGCACGATGAGTGGAGTTGTGTCCGTTATCTTTCTACACATCGCAGAAAGGCTTGGAAAATTGCTGGCAGACCTGTCGATAGGGGGTAGAAAATCTGCTCCCGCCATCTTGCTATCCCAACCATACAAGCAACTTTGCCAGGTGTCCTTCCCTTTGAGCTGTAAGCAGTTGTCAAGATTACAACATGGACATAACTGCTTGCACACCGAGCGGCTCATCCACTGCGTAGGAGAGGTGCTGAGGCATTGGTTGGGAACCTTGGGATCCATGACACTCGAACAATCAATATTAGTGATCATCTTGTGGCTGTAGATTTGATTCTTTACGTCGATGGCTCCACTGATGTGCTGACATACATGTATGAACTCTTTGAATGCTGCTATGTTCCGAGTTCAATCAGCAGACCGGCGTGGGCCTAGCTCAGCAGGTACATCCATGAACTCTTGAAATAAAGACCTGAGTTTGAATCCACAGGGAAAACGAAGTTTGATCAGGAGAGAAAGAATGCAAATCAAGCAACACTCCTCCAAAGAGAGATTGAGGAAGG